GGTAGGTCATCAGTTCGAATCCGATAGCCGGCACCAAATCACAACGCCATCCAGCGTCACGTGATACCAAAGCCCCCTTGTGGATCAGCCACTTGGGGGCTTTTTCCTTCCCAGACTTGCGTCATCCGATGTCACCCGTCATCATGAAATACCGTCACGCGAGGCGGTAGGTCTGACGGTAGCCGCGTACCGTCGTCTGGGAGATACCGACATGGCACGTACCGCCAAGGGGCTGACCGCCATCGCCTGCGAAAAGGCGAAGCCCACTGAGAAGCCCTACAAGCTGGCCGACTCCGGCGGGCTTTACCTTCTTGTGTCGCAGGCCGGCCGGTACTGGCGCTGGGACTACCGCTTCGCTGGGAAGCGCAAGACGATGGCCCTGGGCGTCTACCCTGAGGTGACCCTGGCCGCGGCGCGTGACAGCCACACCAAGGCGCGTGCCGTTCTGCGTGACGGCATGGACCCGATGACCGAAAAGCAGGCGGCCAAGCGCAAGGCGGCCACCGATGCCGAGAACAGCTTCCGCGCCCTGGCCCTGAAGTGGCACGCCGTGAAGTCGGCGAGCTGGGCGGCCAACACCGCAGCGAAGGCGCTGCGCCAGATGGAGCTGCACCTGTTCCCCGCCATCGGGCACAAGCCGGTGACCGCCATCACGCCGCCCGAGCTGCTGGCCGCACTGCGCCGCATCCCGGTGAAGTACACGGCAACACGGATGCGCGAGGTCGCCGGCCAGGTGTTCCGATTCGGCATCGCCACCGGCTTTGCCGAACGCAACCCAGCCGCAGACCTGCGCGACACACTGCCGGTCCCGAAGGTCAAGCACCGCCCGGCACTGACATCCCCCAAGGAGTTCGGCCAGTTCCTGCGCGACCTGAAGGAGTTCCAGGGCGCCGACCGGCTGACGCTGCTGGCGGCACGGCTCGCCCTGCTGACCTGGGTTCGCTCCCAAGAGATGCGCCTCGCTCGCTGGGAGGAGATCGACGCCGAGGCCCGCGAGTGGCGCGTTCCTGCTGGCCGGATGAAGATGGGCAAGGGCTTGAGCCAGGCCCACATCGTGCCGCTGTCCGACGCCGCCCTGGCAACCCTGGAGGAGCTGCGCACCTTGAGCGGCCACACGCCGCACCTGTTCCCCAACGTGACTGGCAAGGCCGACCACATGAGCGAGAACACGCTGGGCCGGATGCTCTGGCGCCTCGGCTACAAGAACCGACAGACCCTGCACGGCTTCCGAGCGAGTGCCCGCAGCATCTTGGGCGAGCGTGGTTGGTCCCGAGACGCCCTGGAGCGGCAGCTCGATCACGCCGAGAGAAACAAGGTCGTTGCAGCCTATGCCCGCGGCGAGCACCTTGATGAGCGCCGCCGACTGATGGCTGACTGGGGCGCTGTGGTGACGGCTCTGGAGTCAGGGCAGACGGTGCTTCCTGAGAACGTGATTCCTTTGACTAGGGCTGCATGAGTGCGCTTGAACTTCAGCCAGGACGGCGCCCCGCGCCGGCCGTGCGTTGTTTGAATGCATCACGCATGGTGCGACTGCATGCGACCACAAGCGACCGGCATGGCATTGGCTGGCACAAGGTCTACCAGCCGCGACATTACTTGACGCAAGTTCCATCGTGAGGGTGCGCCGGCCTTCGGCGCGCCCCATTCGATGGAACGATGAATCAACAGCCGCTGTACTACCGAGCCGCTGACCTCTGTGGCTCGTACTGGACTGGCAAGGTGGGCTTGCTGCCCATCAGCCCCTCCACTTTCTGGCGATTGGTCCGTAGCGGGAAATTCCCGCAGCCGGTGAGGCTTGGGCCGAACACGACGGCATGGCGCGCCGAGGACGTGTCGTCCTGGGTTCAGTCGCGCACTGATCGACAGAGCAAGCCCGCCCCAAAGCGGCGCGTCAACGCCGAGGTGGCGCAATGATGGCCCGCGCCTGGAGCGTCTGCCCCGGCTGCGACTGCCGCGATGCCTGCAAGTGGGCGCGCGTCTGCATGGCCGATGAATCCGCCAAGCTCATGGACGAGGCAACAGACCCGGCCACCACCAACGCGCCGGCCTGGCCGTGGGCACCCGCTGCGCTGACCGCGGCCCCCTCCGAGGAGGTGCAGTCATGAGCGAAGCTGACACCATCGACAGTCGCGCAGTCGCGGCGCTGAAGGCCAGCAAGAAGCGGCAGCACCATCCGGCCACGACGCCTGAGCGAGTGGCGCAGTTCGCCACCGTCATGGACTACTGGCCCGGCTTCAGCATGGATGACCAGCAGCAGCGGCTGTTGGATGTGCTGGCGGGCGGCCCAGTCACGCCGCCTGAGTGCAGGAAGTACCTTGGCATGCCCAACCCTTCCGAGGTGGCCAGGCTGCTGGGCCAGCAACTGCGGCTGCACGGCGTGACCATCCACGCACGAGAAGTGCTGTGGACCGACGAGATGGGCAACGCTCGGCCCACGGTGGCATACGAGCTGGCGCATGACTGAGGGGGAAGACGCCTGCACCCCTGCTCCGGCCGGCGCGGTCTTCTTCTGCATCAAGGGGCAGGGAACGACCAGCAGGCCAGGCCGTGGCAAGTCCCTCGGGCGTGGCGTCCTGGCCGTAGCGCTGCGTCACAACCTGCGGCACAACCTGCCAAGCCATCCGACACCCCCAGGGGTGGACGCGACCCTGACGCATCGCAATGAGGTCGTCATGGGCGGCAGCACGCCGGATGAGGTCATGCGACTGCTCGACGAAGCGCTGACCGCCCGCGGCGTTGCCAAGCCGACTCGCAAGGATGCGTGGCATGCCATCGAAGTCGTGTTCGGCACGCCGCCCGGCATGCGCGACCCGGACGGCTACTTGCGCGCCTGCGCCGACTGGCTGGGCCGTGCTACTGGCGCTCCAGTGGTCAGCGCAGTGATCCATCGAGATCAATCGACGCCCCACCTGCACGCCATCGTCGTTCCCGTCACGGGGGCCGAACGGGAGCGCAACGTCGGCAAGGAAAAGCGCCCGAGCGACGGCAACGCCTGGAAGGGCAGCGACCTGTTCTGTGCCGACGCGATGGCTCGTCTCAACAAGGACCACGCCAGCGCCGTCGCGGCCAAGTTCGGGCTGAAGCGCCAATCAAGGCCGACGCGGCTGCAGCATGAAGCCGTTGTGCATGCCGTGCTGCAGTGGATGGCGCAGAGCCCGGCCAGGGAGTGCGTGACCTGGCCGGCCACCGAGGCTGAGATTCGGCTCGACCCCTTCCCACGTGCCAAGCTGATCGGCCTGGACGCAGCCGCCATCATGGCTCGCATCGGCCTGGCCGAGCGCATGACCCGGCGAGCCGGCGACGACTCAAGTGACCGACGCAGCGAGCGCCTGGCACCTGCCGGGAGCGCGAAGACAGGCCGCGGGCAACGTGCAGATGGGGCTGCTGGTGGGGGTGGGAACTCCTTAGGAGCAACTCCTTCACAGGATAGGAGTTCGGCTGCGCCAGAGTCCCAGGCGGCACCTGAAACGAACTCCTTAGGTGTTGAGGCTGAGCAGGCATGCAACTCCTTAGGTGTTGAGGCTGCGCCGATGGCGCCCCCGCCGTTGCCGCCCCTCTCCCCGCCTCCCCGGCCGGTGCTGACGCTGGTTCACACCACCCCCAGGCCGGCACCCATCCCGGCACCTCAGGCGCCAACCCCGCCACCTGCACTGGCCGCCAAGCCCCCGCGCTGCCCTCAGATGACGCCCGCGCTGCGCGCCGAGATTGACAGCCAGGAGCGGCCGGCCAACCCATCTCCCGACTACCTGGCCTACATGCGCTTCCACGAATGGCGCACCGAGCAGCGCCGCCTGCAGAAGCTCGCCAAGCGCGAGCGCCAGGCGGCCAAGGTCGCCAGCCACTGAACCGAAAGGATCTCCCCATGAAACCCTGTTTGCAAAACCTTTTGTCCCTGCCCGACGAAGACCAGGAGCGATTCGTCCGCTACGTTGAAACCGCCATGAAGGCCGGCGCCACCCAGGACGATGCGAACCGCCTGGCCGCGCGGCAGTTGCGCTCCGACATTGCGGGAGCGCTGGAGCAGTTGGAGGTGCTGTTGCGCGAGCAGCACCCGGACCTGTTCTTGGAGCCGGCCGCAACTCCCGACGCGCCGCTCAGCGATGACGCAATGCCAGCGCAGCACGAGAAATCAAGCCTGCCGGATGCGCGCATGTCCCGCGACGGCTTCACGCTGCCCGAGTTCGGCACGCTGGCCCAGGCCCAGGAGGCACTCCAGGACCGGTACAACCGGTGGAAGCAGACAGTGGAGGCGGTGCGGAAACAGGGCGGCATGGTCACCGAGGCCAACGACTTCTACGCCGCCGAGGAGCGCTACTGGGGCAAGGTGGGCGCCCAGAACGAGGCATTCGGCAAGGACATCGAGCACTTTGTCCGCGACGTTCACGCCGATGGCCTGGAGCTGGGCGACGTGGCCCTCTACGCTTACGCTAAGCACGCGGCCGAGCGGAATCAGCACATCGCGCGGCTGCGTGCTGACATGCCCGATGGGGGCTCGGGCATGACTACCGAGGAGGCGGACGCCATCCTTGCCTCTGCAGAGCAGTCGGGCCTGGAGGCCGCGCTGGAGCGGCACGTCCAGACGCTCTACGACTGGATCGACGGCACGCGCGACGTGCTGGAGCAGGGTGGGCTCATCACCCCAGAACAGCGCCAAGCATGGGACCGGAGCTTCCGGTTCTACGTCCCGCTGCGTGGCCGCGAGGGCATGACCGAGAAGCGGCAGAGCGGCAAGGGCTTCACCCTCAAGGGCAAGGACGCCATCCGAGCCATGGGCCGCCAGAGCAAGGCTCAGCAGATCATCGAGCAGGTCATCCAGGACCGCGTGCGCGCTTACACCCGAGCCGGCAAGAACGAGGTGCTCCGCTCCTTCCTGGCCTTCGCTCTGGACAACCCGAGCCCCAACCTGTGGGAGGTGGAGGCAGTGGAGTCCCGGCCCGTGGTGAAGCGCAACGATGCCGGTGACGAGGTGATCGAGCTTGCCGACCGCATCGTTACGGCGAACACCATCACCATCATGGACGGCGGCGAGATGGTGCGCGTGCTGGTGAAGGACGAGGCACTGCTCAGCCAGTTCAAGGCCGTGAACGAGGGCGACGTGGGCCGCGTCATCGGCGCCATGCTCTGGGCGAACCGCAAAGTGGGCGCGATGCTTACGACCTACAACCCGGTGTTCACGGTCATGAATGGCCTGCGGGACTACCAGGCCGCCACCGTGGGCATGGTGCGCGAGCTGGGCTTCAGCGGCGGCATTGGCCTGGCCGCGGAGTACCGCGCCGCGCTGCGCGACGCGATGCGCGCCGAGCTGGGCGGCAAAGCCTCGCCCGAGTACCAGACGTTCAAGGCTCTGGGAGGGACGACAGGCTACGCCCCCATGGGCGACCTGAAGGCCACCGAGAACGAGCTGAAGGCGCTGATGCAGCGGGCTAAGAGCAGGAACGTCCCGCTCAAGGCTGCGCGCAAGGCGCTGGAGCTGGTGGAGGACACCAACACCGCCATTGAGAACGCGACGCGCTTTGCCGCCTTCCAGGCTGCCCGCAAGCGTGGCAAGACGCTGGCCGAGGCCACCAGCCTGGCCAAGAACATCACGGTCAACTTCAACCGCAAGGGGACCAAGACGCCATGGCTCTCTGCCTTCGTACTGTTCCTGAACCCGGCCATCCAGGACACGGCACGCATCGCCCGCAACCTGTCCGACCCGAAGGTTCAGGCCCTCATCGGCACGGCCATGGTGGGCGTGTTCCTGCTGGCGCTGGGCAATGCCGACTGGGGCGGCGAGGACGATGACGGCATTGCCTTCTGGGACAAAGTGCCCAAGGACGTGAAGGAGCGCAACATCGTCATCATGTCCCCCAGCGGCCCGACCAGGAACGCGGCCGGGCAACTGGAGGCGAACTACATCAAGCTCCCCATGCCCTACGGGTACAACGCCCTCAAGGTGTTCGCCGAGCAGATGGCCGACCAGTACCGCCGCTCCGCCGACCCTGCGGCCGGCCGCGGAGTGCCTGAGTCCGTCGCCCACGTGGCCACTGCGCTCCTGAACAGCATCCAGCCGGCCAACGCCGTGGGCCTGTCGGTCGAGGACGGCAGCAACCTCATCATGGCCCCCTTTTCCAACGCCCTCGGACCCATCGCTCAGGGCCTGGCCAACCGCTCGGGCTTCGGCAACCCGCTGCATCCCGAGAACGCCCAGACCCGCGACCTGCCCGACTCGTCCAAGGTGTTCGCCGGCCAGGCCGGCACGGTCTTCGACCGCACGGCCAAGGCGCTGAACGAGGCCACGGGCGGCAGCAAGTACGAGCGCGGGCTGATCGACATCAGCCCCGGCGCCCTGGAGAACGCCGTCCGCTTCTACGGCGGCGGCATCGCCTCCTTCAGCCTTGACCTCGCCAACGCCTTCTACGCTCGCCAGCACCTGGAGCGCGACGAGATGGAGCCGGCCCGCCTGCCCTTCGCGCG